TAGTGTTTTTTTCCTATCTGTGAAAAAGTAAAATTTTTTTGTTAAGATCGTTGGTAGTACTTAACAAAGGCTCTTTCTAACCCTGTCTGTATGGATTTAAAGTGTGAACATGCTTCTATTATTGGTAGAAAAATCAGCCTGTTTGCTCGAGCCGTAACAGAGAGATATGCAATTTTTTCTAACTCTAGTGACTTTCTGGACACCCTATATAATGTAGAGACTTGATCTTTTCTTTTCTTGTTAGAAAGCGCAAAATGTCTAAAACAAAATCGTATCAAAGAATTTGTTCAGCAAAGTTTTGTGAAGGTCAGAAATATTTTAGAACAAAAGGTATTGAAAAACGCTTTCACAACTTTTTTTGAAGTTCGTTTAATACTTCACCAAATACGAAAGGTTTTTTCTTTTTTTGTTTTCTTCTTTTCCGAGTTTTATTAGGTACAGACAGCGCACTATTACCGCACCAAGAAAAAAAAGTAATATCCCACATATTATACAACGATCGATATGAACACTTTGTAACATCCCTGGGTATCACTGATCGGAGTCGAAAACTGAAATTCTACTTCGAGAGAAAGAATTTATCAAAAGCTACATATATTATATGAAAAAGAAAACTTATTCAATCTTCCAGTAAACAATATTATTTGCATTAGGACATATCTTCTCTGCCAACTGTTATACTCTCGATCAATTATTTTAATATCACACGAAAACTATTGTTGTAATAAATAGTTATATACATATTATTCTAGAGAACGTCGAAAGTAGGCAACGATAGAGATCAAATAAATATATTTCAATGTAAAAATTATAACCAAAGTTGCATAAGAGTTTTCCAATATTTTTTGCTCTAAAATTTTTTGTAGTCTTCAAAAAACATTTTTGCACTGGACATCTTGCTTTTTCTAATAAAAAAAAAAAGATAAAATCCCTATAATACTGCATTGCAATGCTATATAAAAAAGAAAATTAATGCAAAAATTTCGTCCCCACTCGTTCATTGTTTAATATGTATATAACGATTTTTCGACATTGTCCTATTTGTCAAAGTCATATTTTCTTTAGTTTCTTCTGGGTAAAACATCATTTATAATAGAATGATGTTTGTTAAAGTAAAATAGGAAAAAAAAAGAATATTTTCATTATTTTTACGGATAATTAATCGTTAAAGAACTAAAGCTGAAGATTATTTTTGTTAAATACATATTTTCATCTGATTTCTTTTTTAAATTAACCTGGTACAATCGATTTTGTATGTACATTGAGCATTTGATTTCATAATGATATGATTGATATTTAAAAGTTTCACTAATATACTGAGTAAAATATTTTTCAATGCTTAGATTATCATTGTGTCTTGTTTTTTCTTTATATTTCTCATCGATCATAACGAAGAAAAAATAGTGGGCTTTCAAAAGAGCCTCGACAAGTGATAAATCTACTCTTTTCTTGTTGAATTATAGCCATTTTAGTATCTATCATCCTCATAAAGGCAATATTGGACATTGTGTTGTATAAAAATGTAAACTTTATTCTGATGTCTATATTGCAAGATGGAAGATGCTGGAAAATTTGATACTCTGACAATGAGTTATTTCTATTGAAAAATTTCGAATTCAAATTTTGAATTCGAAGGTCAATGTTGAAAGCGGTCTAAGAGGAAGCATAACGTTTTGACGAGAAAAACATCATGAAAATACTTAACTGTATGGGTCCTTTTAGAGTTTTTCAGTTCTCAATAAGATTTATCTAATGACATAAGACTTATCTTATAAGCAATTTAACACTTGGCGAAGTTTTTTTATTAGAAATCTAGTCGAGTATGGTCGAAAGTTTCTTGTCAAATATGTCTGAAGAATATTTTTTAATAGATTCTTTACGAATTATTCAAATCTTCATTGCAAAAGTATTTCTCGTTTCTTGAATATCGTATAACGACTATTATTTTCATTAGTCTGTAATAGATTTTTTTTCCAAAAAAAAAAAAGAAATTAAAAAGAAAAGAATCAATTTACATATAATAATATTTAAATATTAGTGTATAATCATGGATGGTGCACGATCAATTTTCTAGGATAATTAATAAAGTTTTGAATAGATCTATTTTGTTTTCCCTTCTCTCTATAGTGGACATTCCAGCCGTAAAATCTTCGTCGCTTGAATTTAATTACTCTCAAAGACATGATATATAGAAGCTTGAGTATTGCATCACCTGACAGTCCATTAAGAGATTCATATTAGTGTAGGACTTTTTTATTGAATAAAAAAGATTCACTCAAAATAATTTAGGAAAAATTCTAGTTTTTTTGCTATTTCCTTCCGTTTATTGACTATTGTGTTCTCGCCTTGATATTCATGTAAAAAGTTTTGGCTGAAATTTGAACAATCATTCTTCTCTTGCAAAACAAATTACAGACGTGACATTTAGCTGGGTGGATAGAGGTGCTTTCCTTCGGATTGTTTAACTATTTATGGTGAGTAAATGGTTGTTTCCTCTCTGATTTCGAAGTAATAGATACATTTTATTCAGACATTTTGATTTTAAATTTAAAAAAATCTAAAAAGAAAACTAAAAACAAACAACGAATACCAAGTCCAATTTTATGGGTAACAAATAGCTAAGAAGATTAGTCATTGCGTTTCACTCATTAAATGTTGATTAGTCGGACTTCAATTCTTTTGATCAAAGTGATTAAATATTATATAATCAGTTTTACAGAGATGGAAGCCGATTTGTGATCATGCTATTGGTCTTAATCCATCGATAAACCTTGAAGATTGCTTATTGTGGCAGGAGAGAGAGAGAGTTCAAATATTGCTTAAATAAACGCATGTCGGATATAAATAAGAAGGGAAGTGTATTCATCAGGATGACAATTAACAAAATCATGAAACTATAAATCAATCATCCTACATGAACTATTACAGCGTCGTACTGAATATATGAGTGACTTGCAACTTTTTTGTACAATTGATGTTTTCGAGTATTTACATTATAACCTTCGTTTCGATCGAATGATTTTAAATTGTTCTTTTTCGATTCTATTTCTCTCGTAGTCCTGTCACACTCATATCAAATTTCATGTTTCTATCCTGTATCGCTCCTAAGTCATAGAATTAATATTTAAAAAAAATAGCATTTTTAAGCGAGACGTATGTAAAGTAGGCATTTGTTTGAGAAAAGAAAGAACTAGAAAAGTAAATGTAAGTAGATCATTTTGTAGTTTGAATATCACTCTATCGAAACATGCGATTCATTGATCTATATATCTTTCCGTTCGTATACTTCTACTCTCGACATTCGATGACAGACACTCTTTTTTTATATACACTAACACAAAACTACTACTCTTACAGACTAGGAAAGACTTGAATAGAAAATCAATTTACCAAATAATAGGAAACTTTTCCATATAAAAACTAAGCAGAAGTTAAGCTTTATTCAGTGTGTCTCGCTCTATATTTAGTGAAGTGTTGAGAAACTTTTTGCGGTATAACATGGACACAATGTATTATTGAATATGCTACTACTTAGAGATTGCTTTGCGTCTATTTTCATTTTTTCCTTTCCGTTTATATTAAAGAGTTGCAATTCACACATACGTATGTTAATAGTTTTCGTTTGTTTCTGCATAGGTGCATTAAGGAAAAAGTTTTCGAAAACTATCGAGGAACCATTCATTCATCAGTTTTTCTCAAAAAACTATATTCTCAACTGGGACTTTTAATAGTTTCGTTATTAATCGTGAACATTTCCCCTTTTGTCGCCATCTCTCGTGTTAGTAAATTCTTAAAAAAATTTCAGATCAATAGAAACAAATTTGTTTTTACTATACACAAAAACTGTTTTTATCAATAGTTTTAAAAGTAATGTTCTTTCTAATAGTTGTGTAGCGTTTTATCCTCTGTTCATCATCAATCTTATATATATATTGATAGTGCGAGCTTTTGCTCGTCTTAGATACATATAAAAATATTTTGTAATATTATCAAAATCATCTTCCGTAACATCCGGTTTTGCTATACTAAATTCTACAGGTGTCTCTAAGGCTCTTGATAAGAAATTATTCTTGAGTTTTGTTTTACTTCGTTGTAGTGGACTAAAATTTCGTTCACATTCATTAGATTTGATTAGTAAAATGATTAAAATTTGGTATAATTTAAATCATTTAGGTATCAAATATTAAGCTGAATTTCGTACATGGTATTTTGTACTACCTATTAATGAATTTTAAATATGTTGACGGTTAAACCATACTTTTGACATTTGTCTTATCTTCCATCTTTTTTATTATATTACTCTACAAAATATGACTTGATTCAGTTTTCCTTTAAAAAACTTGAAAATAGGATATTTCTTTTACATAGTCGATTTGTCTCACTGCAATATTAAAAACGTTGCCGATCCACAATAGAAAATTTCCAGGAAAAAAGGTAGAATGTAAAAAAAAAGAAAACCAGCTTGCTTTCCGCTTCTAATCGTATGGCCTGTATATGCGGGATTAAGTAGTGTTTTTTCTCTCGCACAAACAGGAAACATGAAAAATTCGAGGAAGTAATAAATTCCTATTGCTTCCCGAAATTCTTTTACCAGGAAGCAATTGCTATGGTTTACAGTTCTAGTGCGCCGGTCATGTGTATAATAAAAATTTTTTCCGAACTAAAAAAATTAGCTTTTCCAATTAACTAACTAACTAATTGGCATATTAAAATTTTCTATTGGTTGAATATTTACCAATAATAATAAAAAAACATTAAAATCTTAGAGAAGGTATAACGTAGGAAACAAAACACTTAATGGTTTCTTTTCTATTTTTAATCCCGCGTGATAGACTCAAATAGAATATTAAAATGGCGATGTTTTCTTCCGGCAACTTTTCTTTTCTTCCCTAGACATCGAGAGTAATCTTATCTATTAAAAAGCTTTCTGTTTTTTTTTGTTTTTTCTTCTCTCAGCATATACTCTCTACAAAAGAAACAAAAATAACAGAAAGTAAAAAATGAAGGGAGCTGGAAGTTCGTCACAATATATGGTAACAAAAAATACGAAATTCGAAGCTAAATTAGCTCGATATTTAATTTCTGATCCTGGTGATCAACTACTCGGTTATGATGCATGTATAGAAAAACAAGGAACTACTATTAATTATCGTTTAATTGTTTTGGGTCTTGAATCAATTTATTTACCAGATAATCCACCAAAAATTGCACAATTAGAAAAACCATATATCTATTATCGTGATATTCTTCGTGCTGAAATGGTTTGTATAAGAAACAAAAAAAAAAAAATTTAAATTTAATAAAACAAAAAAACAAAAAAGATTTTATCGAATATATTTAGATTGATGATTATCCAAATTTTCTAGCTGGAGCTGAACAAAAGAATACATTACATATGCGTTTACGTTTTATTGAATCATCAAATAAAAATAAAAAACCTAAAAAGAAAAAACCAAAATCAACAAGTGTTGACGAAATGGAAACAATACCAAGTTTATTTGATCGATTTACTTTAGAAAATATTAATAATTATATGGAACCAATAACTCCACGGTAAAAAAAAAACGTTTTAGTTCAAAAAGTACAGATTCGTTTAATTTCGATGCAATATATTTCCAATATTAATCTTTTACATAATGATGAAAATAAAAATTTTCTCTTATAGAATTTTAAAAGATCTTCTCTCTCGGTTAAATATTTTTATTTACATAATCACGACTAGATTCATTCCATCAATTATTTAATAACGATTAAAAGCATAGCGCGCTTGAATAATCTGATTTTTAGATATAATAACTGAACCAGAAAGTTTATAGAACCATAAGAATGAACATAAGACATAAATCGGTCATAGCATATAAGTTTTAGTATTAAGATAATTCTTTAGTTATTTATTTTAAATCATATTGATATCTTATTTATAGACGAACAGCATCAAGTCGTGAACTTTATCAAACACCATTACCACAATTATCTGCTGCTATTCCACTTGTTCTAACATCATCATTATCAACAACGACAACAACAAATAAAACTGATCAATTACATTTACCTCTTTATCAACTTGATGATTTATCAGCATCAAAAACATTTGATACATCATTGGAATTTAAAGAACGTCTTGATGAATTAAATCTTAATACGGATCGTTCAAATATTCAACGTTTGTTGTTAACACCAAGGACATTTTCTGATGAACGCAGAACAATGTTCAGATCAAAATCAGCTAAATCATTACCGATATCGAAAAAAAAGGCAAGTAATGACTCCGATTGGAATACAGACACACCAAGACTTAATCGCTATGCATTACAAGTACATCAAGATGATCATTATGGTATTTTACATACCCCACGTAGTACACCACGTCAAACTCTAGATGATGAATTGTTATTATTAACAAATAGATCAACATTAACAGACTTATCATTCACAAGTAGTATAAATAGTAATGCTACTAATAATGAACATTCACCGGTTTATTGTCCATCAGTAGAAGAAGTGCGCAGGTAAAATTCTAACAATACAAAATTTTCTAAGTGAACCCATCTAATGATTTAATCATTCCCAATTATTGCTTGATATTTTTGCTTTCAGCAAGACAAAAAAAAAATAATAATAATAAATTAATAGTATGTATATTTGATTTCATTGATCTTTAGAAAATAGTCTTCTGTTTGGTAGTTTATTTAAATAAATTAATAAACTATTTGAAATTTTTATTTATTTATTTTGATTGTTTTTATTTTTATTATTATTTAGTCTTCGAGATGATATTGATGAAAATATGAAAGAAATAGATATATATTTTCTTAGTTTAACTTCAAAAATTCCAGAAATTTTAAGTTGTGCATTATGTAATTACATTGTTATTTCAACATTACGTTATCAGAATGATCTTCAATTATCAACATTATCAACTAATCGTCTTCACGATTCGTATGTTTTATATTTTACATAAAAATACAAAAAAAAAAAATGAAATCTTTTTTTGTTTTTTGAAATATTTAGAATGGAAATTACAATGATAAAATTTTCTCAATTAAAAAATGAAATTTTACAATCATATAATAATACAAATCAATTAATTAAATTAACCGATGAATTATATAATGCATGTGAGAAATATTCAAAAGTCAAAGAACTTTTTTGGAAGGTTAATTATCATTTATTTATGTCGATTTTTACTTGTTTTTTTTTTCATTAAAATTATTTCTTTTAGGATCCAGATTTATTTACATATTATGTTGCACAATTTCAATCTTGTTCTCAAGATATATCAAATAATGATTTTGATGATGCTACAATTGAGTAAGATAAAATTTTTATTTATTTATTTATATTTGACTTTGAATAATTTTATTTAAATATTTAGTTTTTCTTGTTCAATTTTGCAATTATTAAATGAAGTTTTTTTAAATACATTTGCATCAAATGAACGTTTAGCACGTTTAACACATGATGAGTACGCTATTGATTATTTAATAAACTATTAAGATAATAATTTTATATATATATATATATATCTGAATTTCTTGTTCGATATTTCAAAAGTTGTGTTTTTTTTAATCTTTCATATAAAACATTTTATCAGGATGTTAATATGAAAGACACATCGTATTAATCTTCAAAGCAATTAACTTCCGTTTTTTCTTGAAGTCATGAAAATTATTTTACTAGATGAACTATATAAAGGAAGATTTTTTTTTTATAGAAATTCTATATTTTCCCAATGAATTATATAGGATATAGCGAACGTAATGGTAGTGGCATTATTTTGCCGTAAAAAAAAAAGCTCGAGGAAATTCTCTCTTTATATATTCGCAGTACAAATATTGATCTATATTTCAATAATATTTTGACATTCTTTAATTGATACCATAGTAGAAAGTATAAAAACTATCATTAATAAGGCAATGGATTTGTTCGATATATTAAGATATCATTTCAATTACAGCAACTGTCGGATGATGTTTTATTTTTAACGTCTACTTAACTTTCATGGAACTATTTAGATCATCTGCCAAGTTTCTTGAGAGACGAAGTCTTGTAGTCGGAAGCAAATTATAGATCATTATTAACAATTTTGATTTGAATATAAAATATAGTACGAATTATAATTTAGAAAGAAAAATTTTATTTATCCATCTAAAATATAAATGAATAGCTTTTCATCGAAATTCGATTACTATGTTATCAATTGAAAAAAATGATGAAATATCGAATACTGTTTACATTATTAGTACATGTATAGGAAAAAAATTTCTTTGGGTTTTCTATACTATATTAAAGTATTACCATCACTACTTTTAGCCATACTCTAACGAAGAAATATTTTCAAGTATAAAATCACTTTTGCATAGAAATTATATGTATCATGTAGATCCTAATGAGCTATGAATATCCAGAGAAAAAAAGTCAGACTATTGGCTTATTGCTACTCAGATATTGCATTTTTGCGACAGTTTTCAACACAATGCTATGTTTTCCCGAAAGACTACTCAAAAAATTGAATTTTAGAATTGCGCACAGAGATATACCTTCATGAGAATAGTTTACTGTAAAAGTTTCTATTTTGTTTTCGATTACTCCTATTCTGAAACGAGAATATTAAAATCTGTTGGTGTATATGAGCAATGTAAACGAGGCGCTTTTATCATAACCGTATCTAAGGATAGGAAAAAGTAGAATTATCTAAAACTTTCACAATAAACTATTCTCGTTAAAACCTGTGTCTGTACTAAATATCAAGTCGAAAATCGAAACTCAATATTTCTAGTATTCCTAAGGTAGGCCATGGAATTATGCTAAAAGCTACCGTAAAAAATGTAATATCTCCGCAAGAAAAAGCCAATAACCCGAATTTTTTCCCCGATATTCATAATTCCAATTCAAAAGTGATTTAACACTTAGAAATGTTGCCTTATCGATAGTGAATGACTAACATGTTTAAAACGGATACGAATCTTTTCAGACAGTACATTAGAGAGCAAAACTTTTAGAAATATTTTTTTTTAATTTTCTTGTCCTACTTTAAAAAAGCAATTCTTTTTGATATAGCTGTTCACGAATTCAAAATCTTGTTAATTGTCTTTTAATACCTCCGATTACTTTACTCTCAACACAAACGACAACAACAACAACAACAACAACATCCGATGATTCAGGTGAAAATGAAAGATTACAAGTAAATTATTTCATATAAAATTAATGTTCTTTAAATTTTAACAAAACTAAATTCAGAATGCATACAAAATAGTATTAAAATGGATGTTTGGATCAGGTACTCTATTATGGCATATTGGAAATGTGCTTAGTCGACCATCATGGACAGCAAAAAGTTTTCGTTTTCGACACTTTATTGAATCATTCGAAAAACAACAACAAAAAGTAAATTTTCAATAGAATTTTTAGTTTTTAGTTTTTTTTATTAATAAACTTTAGATAGATAATTTTTCTATTCTTCTCATCGTCTAATTTAACCTTTTTTACATAGAAGAACAAGAAGAATTTTTATTTTCAACTATCTACATTTGATTGTATTCATTCATTAGAGAAATTAAGATCCATTATATTTCAACAGATATAAATATAGGAAAATTTTTCTCATATGAGTACTATCTAGGCCAACTAAAATTGCTCATGATTAGAAGATTTTCAGTTTCTTTTTTAGCAACCTATAATTATTCAGTTGTAATTACATGTTGGCTGCATAGTGTTACCTTTTTTTTCCTTCATTCCAACAATTTATTAGTTCAATTTATTTAATCAGCACGTGTTAACATGATTTGATGTTACTAGCTGTTAACATAAAGATAGCGAAATGTTTTCTTAAGCATTGTTGCCTAACATTAATTTTTTTTCTTTTCAATATCCACGATTAGTATATCCCGTTTTGTTATATGTCCTATGATGGTTTATCGTAACATAACACACAATAAAAAATCCTTGCTTTCTCGTTTTGCACATGAGTAATTGAACATATGTCGCTCACTTTATAGAAGTTATTATTGCTTATGGGACTAGAAATACAGATCCACTAGAGCCCGTCAGATCGGGTCTGAAAATCTTTCATCCGACGGGCTCTAGTCATTTGAGAAATATGCCAGATGCGCTAGTCACCAAATACGAAAAACCGAGAAAAAGTATCTCGTATCTTCGAGGTAACTCTCCAATTTCCATTAGAAAATTTTATTGAGAGTATCAAAGTATGGTTCGATCGGATCCAAAAATTTTGAATCCGATGGGCTCTATGACCCATTATTCAGAATAAGGAGGTCTTCATATTTGAGAGAGTCATTCCTAGCAAAATTCGCTTGGTCGAATTATAATCTGACTAGTATAAGAACGTGTTCACATAGAGAGATTTTACTCTACATATGACTTTTTGGCTAATTATGACCAATACTAGAAAGTTAATAGTATAAATCCTTAAAAGAATCTCTCTCTCTCTCTCTTTGTTCCCTGTAATACATATCAATTCTGTCTTATCGAGTATATATATTTTTTAGGATGAATATTTTGATTTATTTATTGATGCATTATCACGATTAATAATGAATAAGGACAATAAAGTAAAAAAAAATTTTTTTTTTTAAATTAATTTCGTATTTTTTTTTATAAATATATAATTTCTACTAGGATCCATTTAGTCCAAAAAATGCATTATATGTCTATCAATTTTTTTCTATATTATCAATGTTATTAATTAATTCAAAAATGCTTTTTGAATATATCCGTGATCGATATGTTGAAGATTTTAAGTATGTTGTATATGACATTATAATTCTTATAAAGATTTAAGTTTTTTTTTGTGTTGTTCATTATTAATTGAATAGATATTTTTTAAAAGAAGATGTTATACTTTCAAGAATTCCTATTCAATATCCTGTCTATCGTTTTATTCCAGAATTAATTCGTAGTGTTCATCATCGTATATTATATGGTGAACCAAATTATAATTCATTAAATCGTCCAAAACATCATCAACTTATTTAAAACAAATTTTCTTGTTCAAATCAGATTTATTTCCGCAATAATATTTTATTTTATTTATTTTTCTGCTTTTTATGGGTGATTCTAAAAAAGAAAACTATTTTATTTACATTTTCTCAATTAATCTCATTTTTCCTTTTCTTTCTTTTTGTTTTTAAATTAACATTTTTATTTTATTAAAAAAAAAACAAAACAAAATTATTCAACAAAATATTTAATTGGACTTATGGAATGTGAATTTTGTTTATATTTGGCATAAATAATAACTTCTTTAGAATTGACAGTTATTTTTTGTTGTAAAATCAGATCTACATAACCTTCAGTTCGAAGTGTTCGATTATTAATGATTAATCTAATTGATTTTGCACCTGGAATATAATAATAAATAAGTGTAATAGAATCTTTTTGTTTAATATTCCATTTAACGGTGTATAAATTCGATATTTTGTTGTTTGAAAATCTGTGTATATCATTGGAAATATCATCAGTTGTTCAAGTTTTGTAACATTTAATGAAAACATAACAACTGAATTAGATGATTTATCATTATCATTTCTTCGTTTACAGAAAAAATAAGAAAAGAAATGAAAGAAAGAAATTAACAAAAGTTTTGACATTTACAATGAGAATTATCCAACTAGTAAAGAAAAAGTTGCCTTTTACAACTCTGACATTTGTAGAACAAAAATTTCGAACTACGAATGAGATATTTCATGTTGGCTAAAAAATTCTCTATTGTTATAAATAATTTCTTCTATTTTTTATTTCGTACTTCTATTATTATTAATTCATAAGCTTAAAATAACTCATGTTATTATTCATTATAATTTCTTAATCGTCATTGTTCACAATTCTTTAGCAATTTAATTTTCTACAAATCGAACTTGTTGATTTAATATTATTTCTCTATAATAATCAAAATTTTACAATGAAAACTATGTACGTAGTGAACCTAACAGAGATTTATTTCTTCCCACAATATTTTTTGCCTATCAAGATATCTGATTGTTCTTTGTCAATGAATTGACATATAGAAAAATACAAAGAAAAAATGAAGGAAATGATTGTTGATAAAAAGAAACCTAAGGAAATAATTGACAAGTCATACAATAGGTTGTTTATATGTCGCTTAAGAATCAATACGAAACACATTAATGATCGAAAGGCTACGATAAATAAAAATCATATATATTTATATATACATCCTGTTTTAACAAGTTTTGTTTTTTGTTAACATAACTTTAATTCAATGTTTATGGCAAATAGTAATTCTCAATACTTGTAACTATTTTATTATTAATATGAAATTTGTAGATAATACTGAATAATATGATTCACACAAACGTTAATTTAATGCCAAATAAGAAACATGTAGTAGAAGAAGAAGATGATGATGAACAATGGAATCATAAAAGTTTAGATGTATTAAATATGAAAAAGAATCTTTTTATTAATATTTGTCAATCATTATCAATTATTTTAATGTTAATTATTATTATAATTATTCCAAGTGAGTTTAATTAATTAGAAAATAAAATTAATCAAACGATCTATTATTATATAAAATTTTCTTTTTCAATTATGTCAAAAATCTTTATTAGATATCAAATGAAATAAATATTAAAAATAATAAGAAATTCCATAGAATAGAATATGTATTTTATTTTCAAAAAGTCTATTAATATCTATGAAACTATTCTATATGGATGATGACGCATTGTTTTAAACTTTCGCAAAATTAATCTTTATCCATTACAGAATATTTTCATTCTCTAGGAAATAAACTCGTTTCATATTCATAAGAAAAAATTCATTTGTTTTTCTTTTTATAGTTTCACAAGTATTTGTCGGCTGGCATTATTCTGATGCATGTCCAATCAATCAATCAATTCCATATTATTTAATTGTAGCAGGTATTGTTGGTCTTCTTCTCATTATATTAATATTTGTATGTCAATTTATGGTTCGAACATTTTCAAGAAAAATGTTTGATAATGCTATTGATAGAGCAAATTCAAATCGAACAACAACACTTGTTGGTTGTGGAGTTTGTAGTATAATGTGTATTAATTTATCACTCTTTATATTTTTACTTGGTTGGTCTATAGCCGGATGGATATGGGTACTCGGAGTATGGAACAAAGTGCAATATTATCATGTGAACAATAATGATTATTGTCATCCAATTGTTTATAAATATACTTTTTCACTTCTTTTATTAACAATATCTTTTCAAATAATTTTATTTTGTTTTGTTTGTAGAAAAACATGTGTTAGAATAATGACTCTAAGAAAAAAAGAAACAATAACAACAGATGAATCTTAAAGAATTCTTCATCATCTTTAATGGAAAAATCATTCAACCATGCGAAAGCAATATTAATGACTTTAATCTTATTAAAAACAATCATTAAAATTATGTTTCATTTTATTTTATTAATAAATTTCATTGTTTATATTTCAGTCAAAAGATAAAAAAAATATCACCGAAAAAAGAAAAAAAACAAAACTCGTGTAGTTTATCTCCTTTTCTAGCTCCATTAAATATAAAAATAAAATTAAACAAGTATTCATTCAACAGTATATTTTAACAGACCATCGTACCTTGACTTTTGGTTGTATTTGGCATAGATAGTTACGTCCTTCGAACCAACAGTGATTTGTCTTTGTAGAATTGGATCTGTATAACCTTCACTTTCAAGCCATTGTGAATCTACTGTCAAATT